CATTTTAATCTGTACAAAGAACAATCATGACCTTACATTCAGAAGTCTATTCTTTCCTAGCAGCAGCATTACCATGATCATCAACAATAACCAGCTGTAACAGATCTGTACATGGAAGAAGACTCATAAAAGGACAATGATGGCTAATCAAACTTCTCTCTTGAAAAACATTCAAAATGCAAACTTTAGGTCATTAATTCTTCAGAATTTTTTTTCATATGGTAATGTGATTCTCTGATTCAAGGTTGTCAAGTGACTTGGGATATATTTTGGATCAAGGAAGAGACTTGTGGACTTTTTAAAAATGAAATGTGCCATGAAAATCCACATTTCATTTATTCACAATGCATTTAAAAGACTTTTAACTTTTTGTTCCTCTGTTATAATTATTAATACTATTAAGATAATTCTAATCCTCTGTTCTGTGTGACATTGGCATGTAAGTTTCTAAGGGCAAAGAACTGCTTAGGGCTTTTCAGAGGGAGAGTGCTTCTAGATATTGGGATAATTTTTAGAGAACTGGAAGTTGCTTTCTGCCTGTGAAAAAAAAATTAATATATTTGGGTATGAAATTTAATCCTAATCAGTGGTGTACAGAATAATTATATGTTTTTAAGGACTATTCAAGATTCTAAATAAATACTCATGGGCAGATACAAACCTCATAATGCATAATTTGGAATGATACTGTCCCAATTTTGGAAACATCTATATCTTAGATTATGGATTAAAACTTTTGCATGTGCTTAGTATTTAATTTTGACACTCAGGGAGTACTTTCTCACTTTTTTCAGTTTTATAGCTCTGATAGCTGTCCTGGAAGTGATACCCTTTTTTTTTTTTTTTTTTTTTTTTTAATTTTAGTGGTAGGAATCAAATGGTGTTTCATCATTTCCTCTTTTGGACAATTACTGTGTCTGAGGCATGTATCAAGGTGGAAACTGAGGTTAGTTCATCCTGACTCAGTGAATATTGCTACACCTTGCACTTTTCACAAGATAGAAAGCCCTATCTAAATAACCAGAGTGTGTTCTCTGCGTCTTCAGAAGTATAAGGTCACAATGGAGCCTTTGGTGAGGCTTCTTCCATTGCCTTGTAGTCTCTCCCAAGAGCGGAGTAAAGGAAAAAAAGTGGTCTTTTTCTTTCCAGGTAGGTGGAAACTGTTTCCCTAGTAGCGGCTGAATTTCATCCTGGATGACACAGGGTAGAAAGAGACCAGTTCCATCTCTCAGATGATTGTTTATGTAGAATGTGCGACTTTGCTTAAGGCCATTCACATGAAGTATTCAGATCCCCACAACTGTAGCCGCAAATCACTGGGGTAACAGAGAGGCTGGGAGAGATCTGCCAGGAAACAACAATTGCAGAGCTGCTGATCAAGGAAGGAAGGAGGGCACTGAGGGTAAGAGCAAGGCAGGCAGCAATCAGTGCAGTCCTGCAGTGCACCCATGGTTGGTCACTGAACCAGTACCCAACTACTCCCTTTTTCTCGTTAGACTTGACTTTCCTTTTGGCAGTACTTGAGTGCTTTACACTCCAGATCTCAAACTGAATGTGCTTCACTGAGTTGAAGCATGCCTGCTCGCTGTGGCATGGTGCTGGAAGTCATTTGGAAGTACATCTAAGAAAGGACTTTTTGGGGGTTTTAACTGGGAAAAATGAGAAACATGATGACAAAGTGACAAAAAATTCTCAGGATATTGCTAGTCTGATAAGTTCTAGTAATGGTAAAGTTAACTATGCTGGCACTCATATTGTAGTCTTTTGAGAAGCTACAGCTCTGTGAATTTCCAATTACAAAGCCCAGCAATATTCAGTAATGAATTATGTCATAGACAGGGAAGAGCAAGCTGAACATAATATGGTTTCCAGGGAAACATCCTTATTAACTGAATTTCCTGATCAAGTGCATCCTGATTTAATAAAAATATATTGATTGTTGTGACATAATCAGGAAAGATAACTATGGAGTAGAAAAACTTTGAAGCCGATTACTGAAATTTAAACAACATGGACAACATGAAACAGCTTTATATAACTTCTGATTTCTAAATTGTAGCTTAAATTTTTTTGTTTGTTTGCTTGTTTTGTTTTGTTATTCACAACTTCTAGCCTTTAGGAGATTGAGAAATAGAATGTTTTTCACAAGTTAGCCCATGTTCTAAAAAATTTAATAGGAGGAATGATTAATTTTTTTTGTCCACTTTTAAATGTTTATTTGCATATTTTCTGGTTTTGGTTGTTTTTTTTTTTCCCATTTTCTGTTCAATTTTAAGGTGAATCTCTAACTTGAAAGAAAGAGAGATTCAGCTTTTATTTGTGGTTGGTGAATTAAGTCTCAGAATTTTGGGACAAAATGGTGTTCACCGATTATTTCTTCTTTATTTGAAACACCTGGAAACTCATTTGAAAGATTCCAAAGATCAATATTTGCTTTAAGAGCCTAAGCATTTCTGGGTAAAAGAGTAATGGTCTAAAAAGAAATCACCAATATTATTGTTAGACTTTGATCCTTACTGATACAATAAGCTTGCCATAAAAGGCTTCGTCATCAATTTCATTAATTCCATTAAGCAATAGAAAGTCTATGTAACTTAATATTACCTCAAATTTATGCAGGGAAAACTGGTAATTTGATTTCTTAGCTCTCTTGTGCCTGTATTCTATTTAGTTAATGTTGACAGAGTACTCTGTTTGGTTCTGTAGACCTAAATGTGTGTTAAATCATTTTGCAATCATCCTGCCTAAAATCTGGACATGATTTGTCTTCAGATGTTTGATTTTCTATTCTACTGAGCAGTGTGCTGAACACTGTAAAGGAAAAAAAATCACAAAAAGAATATATGAAAAATCTTAAGGTTATGAGATAAAAAATAATCCAATGTTATGCAATGGACCTATCACCTCTGTTTATAAGCATACATTCCATATTCTTATTTAGTAATATTAATTGAATAGTAACCAGAACAGGCACACACAGATACACAGAAACCTATATCACAGAATCATATAGAGTGGTTTGGGTTGTCAGGACCCTTGAAGATCATCTCATTCCAGCCTCCCTACCAAGGGCAGGTGCACCTTCCACTAGATGAGGTACCTCAAAGTCCCATTCAGCCTGGCCTTGAACACCTCTGTGGGGACCCTAAGAGGCATACCCTGAGTTAGGGAGACACAAACCCCTCCATCCCAGCCCCTGCATTTCTACACCTCCAGGGGTGTGGCACCCACAATTTCTCTGGACAACCCATTCCAGTGTCTCATCATCCTCAGAGTAAAAAATTTCTTCTTATATCTAATTTAAATGTACTCTCTTAATGTGAAACCATTCCCCCTAGTTGTGTCACTGCATGCTTTGTAAATATTCTTGCCCCATCATTCCTGTAAATTCACTTGAGGTACTGGAAGGCTGCAATTAGGTCACTCCAAAGCCTTCTCTTTTCCAGGCTGAACAATCCTAATTCTCTCAGTCTTCCCTCATAGGAGATCTGTTTCATCCTTCTAATCATCTTTGTGGCCCTCCCCTGGCCCCACTCCCACAGGACCATGTCCCTCCTGTGCTGGGACCCCAGAGCTGGATGCAGCACTGCAGGTGGGGTCAGAGCAGAGCAGAGAGGCAGAGTCTCCTTCCTGTCCCTGCTGCCCACACTGCTTTGGATGCAGCCCAGGACACGTTTGGTTTCTGGGCTGGGAGTGCCCATGGCTGGGTCATGTCCAGCCTCTCAGCCACCAGTACCCTCAAGCCCTTCTCAGCAGGGCTGGACTTGAGCTGGTTATCCCCCATCCTGTGTTGATACTGGGGGCTGTAACTTTTATCTATTGCCTTTGTTTCAACCATCGACTCCTTTCATGACTAATTCCTAAAATCAGAAGCAGACAACATCTGTTTACATGTGCCACCTGTTGATATTTCAGATGTCACAGAAAATTTGTTATCTGCCAAAGGCTGACAGATTGACAAAGGACATTCAAGCTTCTTCTGCAGCCATTGAAGTCCAGATGAAATAGCTGAGAGCTCTTAAAAGGAATCTAGCTTCTTCTCTTTAGGCGACTGCAAAATAATTTGCACATGTTTGCATATATATCTGTGGGAAGACATTCTCAGACTCCAGGAATGAAATTCTTTTGCTTGCTGGCCTTTAGCTGTTTCTCTGAATATTATTTGATCTCCCAGATAGATGTTCTGTGATATCTAGAAATCTACTGCACTGTACAGATATAGTGTTATATGCAATTAAATCTTGCTCTAATTTGGATGTCTTAGATTGTCTGATATGTGTCTATGGGTCTGACAGACATGGCACAAAATTTGCATGAGCATTGCACTCTTCTGGCCTGACATCAGTGAGATCACAGAATCAGAGACTAATTCAGGTGGGAGCAGGCCACAGGAGTTCTACAGTCCAACTCCTGCTCAGAGCTAGGTCAGTTGTGAGGTTAACCCGGATTACGTAATACAATGGAATCTTGAAAATGTACATGGTAATTTACAGCATCTCAAAAGCTGGTGGATATATAGGCAAGTGAACCAAACACAACATTTAAAACTTGCGGTCTCCTTCTTTGGAATGACAATAGAATATTCTTTTACCTGTATGAACTGAGAATTGTTGGTTTTCAGGTTGGAACATTGTTTTGGTTTGGTTTTAAAAGTAAGGGATATTCCTGCAAAGAAATACCTTCTGGGTTCTTTCAGTGTTGTGTTGGAAACCATTAAAAATAAGTCAACCTACAAGAGAATATTAATTTTTTTCAAAGCCTTCAGTAGAAGATTAGTAAGATTGTAGTCTTAAGGGCTGGTGAAACACTGGCCTTAAAATCCTTTTAAAATCAACTATTTAATTTTCTTTCTGTGTTCCAAGAAAAAAGAGCTCTGCAAAACTGTGTGTTCTGGAATGAGGAAATACACTTGTGACATCCATTTGTATTTGTCTCTCATTGCATGGTATTGCTTTTCTAGGAATTTCTTAGATTTTTTTTTCACTAATTGTCATTCACAGATATTGGCTGACCTGGAAAACCATGCACTTTTTAAGGATGATCTAGAGTGCCAGAAGCTTATTCTGGAAGCCATGAAATATCATCTTTTACCAGAAAGAAGAACTCTTATGCAAAGTCCAAGAACTAAGCCTAGAAAATCTACAGTTGGAACGCTTTATGCTGTTGGAGGAATGGATAACAACAAAGGTATTAGACATATTTTTTGCTTTATGAGTTATGCTTCTTTTTTTTTATGTCAGAAAATGGTGAAATAACTTTTTATTCCAAGATTGGTGGGGGGATGTCTAAATCAGTCAAGAAACGTTGCCAAGATTTTGGTCCAATGAAAATCTACTGATATTTAAGGAAAAGCATAATACAGTTAGAGAAAAGAAACTGAGTTTTGAGTTCATTCTTTGTTCAAAATTATTATAATTTTCAGAAAGGAATTTAACAAAGAAACTAGAATGATAGTAATATACCTTAGTTATAGATTTATAGAATTTGTTTTTCCTTCATAATTCAAATACTTCTCTCAGTTTTTTAACCTTTGATAAAAGGCAGTTTGATATGCAGTGTATTTGATCCTTAAGTAATTGTCTGGAACATTAATGATGATTCATGGGTCTTCCAATGCAGAAATTTTTAAGTCTTCTAGAGAAAAAAGATAACTAGCTTCAACTAGATTGCTTGTTTGTCAGCAGATAAAGGAAGGTAAAATTAGCCCCATTTTTCTATGAAGTGGGAAGAAGTGGAAATTTCATTAAAGCTTTTTGTTGTTATTTGTTTGGAATAAGAATTATTATGATAGGTTGCGCTTTCATTTCTGATAAATTTAATCCACTGATTTCTTGAATGGAGTGAAACAAAATATTTGAGCTAAAAGCTAGCTATATTACAAGTTTATATACTCAAAAAGGCTTCATAAGTTTTTGGTGATATTCACAAACAATTCCACAGCATTTAAATTTTCATGTCCATATTTAGAGTGAAGACTACACCTCCATAAACACTAGTTCTAATATAAAATAAACTGCACTTTTAAAAGGTATTGTATAAAATTATATCTTTAGTGTTTCACAACTCTTTGTCTAGGTGCTGTTATTGAAATTGTTTCACTACATAGCTGTGGCAATATTGTTTGCAAAATTCCATGGCATGTTTTTTTCCCATCAAGTTGTACTAGTGATTAGAGTGTATGACATCTGTTCCTGTGTGAAAATAAATGGGTGGCATCAAGAGAAATATGACAAGCAAGTCAAGACAGCTTCATGCTTTTGGAATGAAGCTGTGTCAAGGGAGGTTTAGATCAGATATCAGGAAAAGTTTTTTCACCCAAAGGGAGATTAGGCAGTGGAAGAGGCTCCCCAGGGAAGTGGTTACATCACAAATTCTGTCTAAGTTCAAAAAGTGTTTGGAAAATGCTCGCAGGCACATGGCGTGACTCTTGGGGATATCCTGTGCTGGGCCAGTAATTAGACTTCATGGTCCTTGTGAGTCTCTTCCAACTCAGCTTACTCTGTGACTCTGTGACTGTGATTCTGCCCTTTGACCCCACTTTCTTGAGGCCCCCATGGAGTATTGCATCCACCTCTGGGATCCCATAATGACACAGAGCTTCTGGAGTGAGTCTGGAGCGATCAGAGCACTGGAGCACCTCTCCTGTGAAGGCAAACTGAGAGACCTGGGACTGTTCAGCACAGAGAAAAAAAAGGCTCCAGGGAGACCTTATAATATTCCACCTTCCAATACCTAAAGGAGCCAACAAGAAAGCTGGAGACAGTTTTTACAAGGCCATATAGTCATAGGACAAGGGGCAATGACTTTAAACTGAGGTCATAGGTTCAGATCACATATTTGGAAGTAATTGGTTGCTGAGGGTGGTGGTGAGACACTGGTGCATGTTGCCCAGACAAAGTGTCCCATGCTTGGAAGTGTTCAAGGTCAGGCTGGATAAGGCTTTGAGCAATGTCGTTTAGTGAATGGTATCCCATATAATGGCTCAGGGGTTGGAACTAGATGATCTTTTGTGTTTGAAGGTCCCTTCAATCCCAAACAGTTTAATGAGTCTATGACAATAAGAAATTGTTGATGAAAGAACCCATATGTGTTTGAAGGTCCCTTCAATCCCAAACAGTTTAATGAGTCTATGACAATATATATATATATATATATGTATATTCTTAAAGTAGTTGCAGATAATTTTTGTCCTTTTAACAGTTGTAAACAATTGTGTAGCTAAATGTTAGTCATGGATGTGCACAGAACATTGTCTTTGGATGATAAAATATGAATTTCCTCTTACTTATGACAAATACAATAAACACAAACATTCAGGTAGGAAATGACCCAATAATAAACCCAATTTGGGTGCAGCTGTATTTGTTCTCATTTACTATTAATATGTGTTTCTCAATAAAAATACAGAAATATGTAGGATGACAGCATGAGGCAAAGCACCATTACCACATCAACACACAGCCTGTTTTGCAGATTCAGGTCAGGCAGACGCAGTTCATTTCTGTAGCAGCAGGAGAAAACACAGAGCAGCAGAGGTTCGGCCCTCTGTTGCTGCAATCTGTGACTGAAAACTAGCAGGACTTTTACACATTTACAGCAGATAAAAACTGCTTTGAGAATGGGCTGGTATAGCAGAGAAGCATCTGCATAGCAGGAGCCTGTGTTACAGCTGATGCAATATGTATTCCCAGCAACCCAGGCTCTGCAGCTGTGCTGTCTCATCTTGCATCTGTTCAGCTCATCCCTCTTGTGATCCTGCTGTGTTCTTGACTAGCTTTTATGCCCAGTAAGTCTTGTTTCCACATGTCCATTCAGAAGACCTCAGTGCTGTTTTCCTGCTTTGAAGAGTCACTGAGTTCATAAAGTGAGCCTGGGCTGGGAGATGATGCTGATACTTACTGTATTATTTCTCTTAAAGAATTAGTAATTTGTTTTCTTCCCCACAACTTTCTTCACTGAAATACTGATATAGATGGTTGAAATTCACAATGATGTATTTTTAATGCTTCCTGATGTTTGCTACCAAATGTGAAACCGTTGCAAATAATTTGATGAGTTAGACAAATTAGCAATTTATTAACTAGCATATAAAACAGTGGCTAAGTGCAAATATTATGAAAGCATTTGAAGGTTATATGGCTCATCACATAAAAAGTAGCCTAGCATGCTAAGTTTGTTTTGAAGTGTCTTCTATAATTATCTTCCTTTACATAAAAATGAAGTGATAATTAAACTCCAGCAAACAGCAACTGGAATTTTGCCTGATGTGAGAAATTAATGCAGCATAGTACTAAATGGGTAGAGAGGAAAGTATCAAACTTAGATGAATTTGTAATTTTAATTCCCTAGACAAACTAAAATAATTTAAATCTCTTTTTCCATGCACCTTTGCTTATTTATTAATTTAATTTTAAAGGCACATATAAGAAACACATTTTCTCAGTATGTTTGCGTTCACGGAATGGGATGCATTAATAGATTGTGGGTATGTGCTGCTGACAATGTTCCATTCACTTTACCCATTAATATCATCACACTGACTTCTCAAATTTGGATTAGCAATATTTAATCATGTAATAGTATAGAGAAGTCCACAAACAGAGGAGGATGATTGAAATACATGAGTAATTGCAAGAAGTGGACATACAGGAATTTTTAGGAGTGATAAAGCTCTGACTTCCTGCAGCCATCCTGGAAACCCAGAGCAGAAGCCAAGTGGTAGAACATGATGTATATGGTCTGTGTTAGATGGTGCTATGGATTATGAGCAGGAAAATATGCAGCAAGTGGAGATTGGGATCAGTAAGCAGGCAGTGTTGCAATTATGGCAGAATGCTGATTAATTTCTCTTGAGGTGTCTTAGTCTGTCTCTAGGTATCAGTTAGAATAATAAGGGAAAAGTAGAATTCGCAGAAAAATAAAATAAAGGTATTACAGTAACTATGATCCAAAACCACTGGTGTATATTACTTTTGGAATAGCCGTAAACTAGTTCCTCAAAGTCCTAGATTAGATATTTGTTTACTGAATCACAGCCTTAAAGTAAATACAAGGGGAAAAGTAATGAAAAGTTGCATGAGCAGGAAACTTTTCCATAAAAATGTTGTAGGTCAATTTAAAAAGTGATGGAATAATCAATTTACTGAAGCACTGATATATGTGTTTTTCATTAAGCTTATGACTAGATATAAAACCTGCTGCCAAAAATATCCTGGTGGTAAACAGGTAATGTTCATGATTAAGCTGTATCAAGCAATAAAAGTTATTTTATTGTTGTATAGATACCTGTTGGAAAGATCTCTTCTGTTGCCACAGATATATTAAAAAAGTTAACCTTTTGAAATATGAAATTGAGGCCTCCAGTCATTCTTCCTTATATACCCATGTTGCATATTTTTATTTTTCTTTAATGTATTTTAAATCATTGCAGTAGTCCTCTTTGTTTCACAATTACATTTTATCAAATGTGCTTTATTACATATACATATATATATATATATAATTATTTCACAGGAATGACATCTAGCTACATGAAGTTACCCTTGTTCTAGTGAATTTTGGATATGTCCTTGTTTTTCTGGACTTTTTTAGTTTTGATTTTGCTTTTTGTTTTGTTTATTTTTGTTTCTAGCAAGAACATTTCTCAAAGCAGATTTCATTTAAACTTTATTTTAAATTTATATTTTTTCATTCTTATATTTTTAAATGCTGAAAGAAATATTCAAAAACCTATTGTAAATACACTAAAAAGGGGCAAAAATAGGGAAATATAATGTTTTTCCTCTTAGGTAGTTTTTCCACTTGAGATATGTCTGAGTTGTCTGTGACTTGAATCTGCCTTCTTCGTCTTCAGTTTAGTAAGAACATTTCTCAAAGCAGATTTCATTTAAACTTTATTTTAAATTTATATTTTTTCATTCTCATATTTTTAAATGCTGAAAGAAATATTCAAAAACCTATTGTAAATACACTAAAAAGGGGCAAAAATAGGGAAATATAATGCTTTTCCTCTTAGGTAGTTTTTCCACCTTGTTGAGATATGTCCGAGTTGTCTGTGACTTGAATCTGCTTTCTTCGTCTTCAGTTTAGTGGGAATTTTTTAAAAAATAATAAAGAAAAAAAAAGAAGAAAGTGAAATCTATCAAGATTTTTCTATGGCACTTTACAAGTTGTAAAAATTGCTACAA